ATATAAATCGTTGATGATGAAATGGAGCCATGAATTACGTTATGATTGTTATATCTCCCATAGCTTAATCCTTCAATTAAGGGATTATCTCCCTTGACTAATTCAAATTAATTAAGGAACGTGTATCCTATCTTTTAAAACATGTATCCCTCCTTTAAATTTTAATAGAGTCATGTATCTTAAGAATTATTACCCATGTATCTTAGGAATAAAAAGTGGTATAGGAAATAATATTGAAAACTAACGGGATTCCTAGTAATTGGGATGTAAAGTAATGGGATATATGTAGTTTACCCTTAAACAAATGTGTTTATCAATAAAAGTTTTAGCGGCCATTATTTCCACTATAATTCATAATTATTACCGCTAAAAGTCTTTGTTTTATTTTATTTATTATTGTAGTGCCATCAAATTTATACCTAGTGGTATAGTCTTAGCACTTTAGCACATGAATAGTGGAGTTCTCATATCCCCTAATGGACATTTCAAAGCATACATATTACCTTTTTATAGTGCTAGAAAAATTATGATTTCCTCAAAAGTTGAAATTGACAACTTTAGTGTCCCATTTAAATTGATTTATTTCAAGTGTTTCAAAATATTTTTCATAATATTTAGGTAAAATAAAAGTAATTTTAAGTTAAAAAGTTAAAATAAATCAAACATAAAAAAATTTAATTTACAAATCAAAAGTTACAATCTTATTCAAACAGTCCGTTTATAAATGACTTGACTAGGGTTGTTCATGGTTATGGTTAAAAAATCAAATCAAACTACAATCCGAACCAAACTGATTTAAAATTTTGATATTTAGTGTGATTTGGTTAGGTTTGATTTTAAAATTTGAAAATCGATACTATTTGGTTTGATTTTTGGTTTTACTAAAAAAACCCGCAAAAATAACCAAACTGAACCGAGAAATTTTATATATATATATATATATATATATATATTATAATTATTTAATATTGTGCATAAGTAATATATAATATTTTGTTACATTTTAATTAACTTAAGTCTTTAACTTTATCATCTTTTAAGCCCAAAAATTAAATTTTAGCCAAACTATTAAAATCCTACTTTAGTTTTTACCTACCCTATCTCACATCAGATAATGAATCATTTTGTTTGTTAACAATAACTATAGTATTGTTTAATTGAATTCACAATGGCTTTCGATGAATTTTTTCATGTACTAGGTGTCTATGTCTATCGAGATGCGTATGCCCTCAACATATTTATTACTTCCAAATCGGAAAAACCAAAATAAAAAAAAACGAAATCAACACTAACTAAACTGATGTTTATTTTTTTCGTTTGATTTTAAAATTTTAAAAACCATCTAAATTAATTTTATTTTAATTTTGACCAATAATCGATCCAAACCGAACCATTAACCCCTGAATTTACCATTGGACAAAAACCTTTTGAGTTGATCCTAAATAGAGTAACAATGAACTCATTGTCCATTTTTGGATGGATGTTTTTGTCAAAAAGTTGAAGGGGGAAAAAGTTGTTAAGTCTTGTTAGTCAAGTCCAAGAATTTGGAGGTAATAAAAAGTTTTTCCCACTAATAGATATAATGGGAGGCTTTCACATCAACCACATTTTGCTTTTAAGTTATATTATTATTATTATAAAGATCTTTACATATATCAATATAATAAATTTTTTCTACATTGTTAGTAAATATAGAAATATTATTTGTATACTAAAATTTTCGATCATTGAAAGCAATCTTTACAACAATGAGAATCTCCACGCAACAACCTCTACTGATAAAAATGGATAATGAATTTATAAAGGTTTTGATAGTTTTAATGTATTATGAAATAAGATATTTAAGTAAAATTAAAAATTTTAATTTCTAATTCTTTTTGCAAACTTCATTGTTCATAGTTGTGACAAAAAATGCATTATAAACTAATTCAACCAACCTCATAATTAAAGCAAAAAAACTTATTTACATGATTAATAATTTGTATACGATCAAAAAAAATTTATAATGATATTGTATGTCTTGATGTTTTTGAATGTTATAACAATGTATTATTATAAAGAATGTATAGTATAACATAACACGAATGTTAATTGGGTGGAAATTTTGAATTAAACCTAAATAAAACTAAGTTATTATAATAAAATATTTTCATAGAGAATAAAAATTATAGAAAAGTTTAACGGTATATAAAATATTCAATTCATTCATGAATCAAATCCTTAACAATAGCCAATTGATTAACTAAAAGTTAATTTTAAAAAGATCTTATTAATTTAGAACATTAATAATACACAAAATCGAATCAATCGATAAACACCGCTTAACATATATATATATATATATAAATGTTGAAGTTCAACAACGCGTTTACATTTTAATTATTATTATTTTGACTAATTCTTTTATAATGAAGATCAACACACTTTCACTTGCAGTCAAAAAAGTTAGCACTTTCATATCATTATTTATTATTTCTCCCCACAACCCCCCTACCCTTTTTTTTTACAATGCACTTTTAAAAAGAGAATTAATTATAAGAATAAAATTAAAAAATAATTAATTTTATTTTACTTTTATAAATTGATAAGTTAAAATATGACAATTATTTTAATAATATGTGAAATATATCTATTTATTATAATACTCATATTAATTGATATAATTCTCAGATCTTGAAAATTATTTTGAAGATTAGTAAATAACATTGATGATAAAACGTGAAAACTAAATATTTTTCTCTTCATTTGAGAAAAAAGTAATAAGTAAAAGTGAAATGTATTTTTAGTATAATGGACAAGTAAAGAAAAACAGAGGTAGATTGATGCATTCTTCCTTTCAAACCTACTGCAACAACAATATATCAGTATAATCCAAAAAAAATAAAAATCATTCAGATATAGTGTATAGAAATCTCAACTCTATCTCAGAGGTAAAGAGACATTTAATATTTCAAACATGTTTAGATAAATTAAAATTACTTAGAATTTGATATTTATACTTTACTTAAGCAAATTCTCTTTTCAAAAAAATAAAAATAAAAATTTAAGCACATTAAAAACTTTATTGAGATTTTGAGTAGATTATTTTTCTTCAAAACCTTACATCATGCTCTATGCTAAGTTGTCTTCCACTTAGTCAAAAGATCAACAAAAAAGAATACTATATAATTTAGTTTAGTTCTCATCTATTTGCATTGTGATGAGATAATTGAAAGTCTTCCACACTTAATTAAAAATTTAAATATGAGTACAAAAAAATTATATTAAAACTATTGTTCTTAATATTGAATTCTATCGTACTTGAATCTGAATTAATCAAACTATAATATAAATTATAAATTTTGAATAAAGATAAAAATAAATTTTGAATAAAGATAAGAGTATAGTTATCCTCCACAATGAAGACAATAGAGTATAGTCCACTAAGAAAAATAAATAAAGATGAAGAGAAAGTGGAAAATCCACTTTGAAGGCTGACAAAAATTGTGAAAATCTAGGTTCCCATTAACACATACAGAGTATAGATAGCTTTTTTCTTGTTAGACAGAATCACATCCATGCAAAGTCCCTAACTTTAAATTGACTCCCATTTCTCCACCCACCTCCTACCCCCTACCCATCCCCAATCTATTACTCCCTCAATCGAACCTGTTCGATATATTAAAAATAGTTTTTCAATAGTATTTATTTAGTTTAAAAAATTAAGAGATAATTTATTTTTTATATTCTTTTTATTAAATATTCACTCCGTCTCATCTTATGTAAAATAGTTTGACTCGGCACATAGTTTAAGAAAGAAAGAAAGACTTCTAAAATTTATGATCCAAAATGAATAATAGAAATTTGTGTGGCAGTAATCAATTTATCAAGGGTAAAATAAATATTTTATAGTTAATTGTTACTTAATATACAAATGTGTCATTCGACTAAAAAGAAAAGTAAGTCACATAAATTAGGATAAAGGGAGTACTATTTATTATTTAACATATCTCTCAAAGCATTAAGTTTAATAAAGTCAAAGAATAAAATAGTAATATTATTTTTATTATTTATTATTTCTTAAGGGGTGTGCTAAGTCAATAGTTGACAACTATTATAGGACATAGAGAGTACTATTTTCTACGTCTTATATTAGTTCATTACTTTTTATTTTACACGTTATTTAAGAAATTATAAATAAAAAAATAATTTTACTAATTCACCATTTAAAAATTAATTTTATAAATAATGAACACTTTTAAAATGAATTAATTGAAAGGATAATAGGAGTATATGAAAATTTTAATTAACATTTTGTTGATTTAATAAGGTGATCAACTAATATGAGATAACTATTTTTTAGTATAATTATCAACTAATATGAAACATAGGAAGTATTATCTTATTTTTATTTTTTTTGAATTTGATTAATTTAAATTCATATCATAATTGGAAACTCATTTGCTTATTGTAATATCGTTTATGTTCAGAACGATTTTTTAACATCCATCATAATAGAGTAAGATTGTGAATTCAAATCTCATCGTCATCAGTTAAGACATTGACTTCTAATAGTTCAATAAAAATATAATTTGAAGCTCATTTGCTTATTACAATACCGTTTTATATTCAAAATGATATTCAAATATCCATCACAAATCAAGTAAGACGTTGAATTTCGAATCTCATTGTTATCGAATAAGATGTTGAATTCGAGTTTTACCACATCATATAGCGTTCAAGTCAATCTTCAAGTATCAGATCATGAAATTGATCGGAAAATCTAATCTTCAAATATTTTCAAAAGTCAGTTTTATAATTTTTGAAACTTTTACTTACAAAACTTTCAACTTTTTCCCAACAATATACATGTCTAAACCCAACTTTAAAATTTTTAAATCTCAACATAAAAAACTCAAATTTCCAAATTTTTACTTCAAAATATACGATAAAACAATCTTATTCATTCAACCGCGATCCATTTACCCTCATGATTATTCCTGACTTTGGTAGAACCAAAAAGCTTACAATAACTAAAGAAGACCATTAATTCTTCCCCCACTAAAATTCAAAGCTTTTGTTATCTCTTTCATTAATACTTCTTCATCTTCTTCTTCTTCTTCTTTTCTCTTTCATTCATCTTTCACCAAAATTTCAACATTCATATCACAAAATTCAGCCATGTTTGTCTATCTCACATATCTTCATCAAAAACCCATCTGAAAAAACCCAAAATCCCCAAAAAAATCCGACCCATTTTCAGCCATGTTTAGCTATCTCATACTACATCAAAAACCCATCTGAAACCAGAAATTGTTCCGACCCATTTACCCATTTTCATCGATAAACCCGACCCATTTATCCATTTCTGTATTTAGGGATAGAGATGTACAAGAACCAGTTACAGGAGTTAGCACAGAGGAGCTGTTTCAATTTGCCCTCTTATGTATGTATAAGAGAAGGTCCTGATCACGCGCCGCGCTTTAAGGCCGTCGTTAACTTTAACGGCGAGAGTTTTGAGAGCCCTCATTACTGCTCAACACTCCGGCAAGCTGAACACGCCGCCGCTGAAGTTGCACTTAACGCCTTATCTAACCGTGGTCCTTCTCACTCTCTAGCTGCACGTATACTTGTAAGTATATATATATATTTGTATATATTTATATTCGTCTTTTATTGCTGTACCGCTAGGGTTCCGGCGGCATTTTTGCTGTTCTTCTCCGCCGGAGTGTTGCTAATGTGCGCCGTACGTGTTGACTGTGTTAATGTGCGCACTATCGTCCTTTTTCGAGCTCTGGACCGGAATTAATGACTCCGGTTTATGAGGTTAGTTGGGGAAATTAATGGTATTGAAATGACCAAAATGTCCTTTGTCCTAGTTTTAAATATTCGCATTGAGTGCCGACTAAATCGAAACCAAGTACACACATTTGCTTGTAATGTCATGTTTGACTTTACGAGAGTTAAATTAATTACTTTTAGTGACTAAATTGGATAGATTAACTCAATATTTTACGAATTAAAGTTTAAATACTAAACAATTTTAAGATAAGTATTACTTCTCCATTACATTTTACGACTTGATATGATACTCTCTCTGTCCCTAATTACTTGTTCACTATTGAATTGATACATTTATTAAAAAAACAGTGATTGACATAGTGAGTTTATCATTTTACCCATATTAATTATGAAGTGGATGAATTAAAAACATAAGAATTTTAAGAAGTTCTACATTTTTCAAAATAATTGATTGACGGTATAATAGTAAATTTTTTTTGTGCTTTTTGATTTGTCAAAATGGACAAGTAATTAGGGACAATTGAAAAAGAAAAAGTGGACAAGTTATTAGGGACAAAGGTATTTAAGAAAATAAAATAAAATTTGAAACTTGTGATCTGAGATAATCGTTTAATCAATTCAGCAGGGGTAAAAAGGAGAATTTTAAAGTTTAATTGTTTTTAATTATAGAAAGGTGACATTCTTTTTCAGATCGACTAAAAAAGAAAAAGTATCACATGAAATGAGCGGAAGAAGTACAATTTTTCAATTTTTCTCATGTCAATTTAATGAGTAAATATATTTTAAAATATTAATCAAAATTTATATAATTCAACCATCCAAAAGAGAATTATATAAATATTATCACTTTAATTGTTAACTACGAAATTAAATTACTTTGTTTGGTATAAATTTACCAATGTACTTGTTAAAATGTAGGTGATTTTTTTTTTTTTTTTAGAAAAGTTGGGTAATTGAATGTAGTGGGAAAAAGAAAAAAAAAATTCTAATGGGAAGTTTCTTGGAGGGACCATAATTAATATGGGTTTTCTTGTCTTTATACATTTGCATAACAGCTGATTTGGGTCTTCTTGTACTGTTTTGATAATTTTTTTTGATAAAGGTAACAAAGTACTGTTTTGATAATTAATTTCCTTAAATGAGGGTATTTTAGTAATTAATTATTATATATATATATATATTTAGAAGTTTTAATTTATTTTTATTTTTTATCTCAAGTGATTTTGCATATTAAATTTTGCTACCTACCTTACAGTATTTATTTTATTATTAAAGACCCATAATAAATAAGTGTGGAAATTGTAGATAAGACCTGTCAAATTGGGTAGTAGGAATCAGTCAACATTTGAATTGTGTTTAATAGATATAAATTATGAAATAATTAATATTTTTTGAAGAGGTTATGTGATTAAGACATGATTAAAAATTACTGAGTTCCTACTAATTAGTTTATATTCTACTTGATTAACTTGTTGAAATAAGTGTTATTGCATTGGGTTAATGAATGTGACAAACCGCGTATGCTCGGGGTGATTTCCTCTCATCTACCTAAATATTGATGGACAGCGTTATCTGTTACATGTGTTGATAGGAAGTAATAGGTACTTAGTCGGATACTTGAGGTGTTGCAAGGCGTCTGCCACCACACTTATAAGAAAGTGGTGGTGGCATTCGGGGCAACTGTCTAAGCTCAGGTGATTTCTTCTCATCTGTCCGAATTTTGATGGACAAAGTTACTTAGCTCATATGTCTAAATCTTAGTGGATGTAGTTACCCATTGCATGCAGGGGCGGAGGTAGCATTCATGATACGTGTTTGACTGAATCTAGTAGTTTTAGCCCAAATCATGTACTACAAAATTCATTAAATACGTACAAGAAATAGCACTTGAGGTTGCCATCCTAGAATTCTGAATTCATAAAGTTTAAATTCTTGATCTGCCTCTATGGCGTGTGCTTAGGTACTCGTTTGAATAGTCAAGGTGTTGCAAGCTGCCCCGGTCACTACCTTTATTAAAAAAGATGAATGTGGCAAACTTTGAGTTTGGCACATGTGTGGAAGTTCAGAGGTTAATTAATTTGAATCTAGAATTGCTTCTATATTTATGGAGCATGACAGAGACTGAACACATGGGCATTGTTGACTTTTATCATGTGTGTGAACTCTTGCTCATTCATATAATTTATAATATTGAGGGTAAGTATATGACATAATAATAATAATATTGGGTATTAAGGGGGAGTTTGACCATGACTTTTTTGTTTTTTTTGTTTTTTTCTGGAGTTGAACTCCATAAATCATGTTTGGCCATAAAATTCCGGAATTCAACTACACCAAAAAGCCGTTTTTGCTTCTTATTTTTCCATTCCAAATTACTCACAAAAATTTAAAAACAAATTCAATTTCTATTCATGGCCAAATGCAACTATTTTTATGATCAAACGCCCCCCTAAGTTTAAGGTATTTGGTTCAGCATGACAATTGGAGAAAAAGTATTTAGCTAAGCTTCATATTTTTGGCATTTGTCTCCCTATATATCTTGGAAGAAGCATCTGCATGTGACTGTCCACTTCCATGAGGTTTCTTCCATAAATATCATACTCATTCCGTTTTAATTTGTTTGTCTTAGTTTAACTTGGTACGGAATTTAAGAAAATAAATAAAGACTTTTGAATCTTGTGGTATCTTTAACTAAATATATGTGTAATGTACCAAAATGTCCATTAATCTTGTGATTTTAAACATGTCTATGTGTGATGTTGATATGTAAGAGTTGCCAATTAGGAAACAACTTTCGAAACAAATGATAAAGAAAAGTACAACAACCAAATTGAAACAAAGGAAGTATAAAATTGGCATATGCTTCATTTTATGTGAGACTATTTAAATGAACAGTTACTTTGATATGGTGATTCTTGAAATATACTAATTTAACTTGAGGCTAGTGAAAGTTTTTGGTGTAGAAAAATTATTCACTCTGTTTTTCCACCTCATTGAGCATACTCCTGCAAATTGATTTGGATCACATACTAGTTATGTAGAGATTCGGTATCTCAAGGGATCCTGGAAAATGTTTTACAGGAAAATAAGTGGTCTTGTATTCAGTATGTAAGCAGAAAAGTATTATCCTAAATGCATACGTATATAATCTTAGACAATCACTACGGGAGACGGGTGGGGGTGCAGGTGCGGGGTGGTGGGGAGGACACAATAATGTGGAATGGTACTTGTAGAACTTGTTATTTTCCTCATTTTCAAGGAAATAGTTTTCATTGAGAAAATGTTCAAAAAGTTTTGATCAACAAAGCATGAAAAAATTGAAAAACATTTTCAGCAAAATGTTTTTTTCCTCAGTACCAAACACATCCTATACTGCAGCATTGTTTGTACAATGAATTATTCATTGTATACGTCACTAATTTCTCGTGATGACTATAAGTCACTGGTTTGATGACATTGCTGAAGTTCTGTTGTTTTCTTTGTTGGATGAAATTAATTGTAGGATGAAACAGGCGTCTATAAAAATCTGTTGCAAGAGATAGCACAAAGAGTTGGAGCTCCTTTGCCTCAGTACACAACCTATCGGTCAGGACTTGGCCACCAACCTGTGTTTACAGGAACAGTAGAATTGGCTGGAATCACATTTACTGGTGAACCTGCCAAGAACAAAAAGCAAGCTGAGAAGAACGCTGCCCTGGCAGCTTGGTCATCGTTGAAACAATGTAAGGCTCCCACTCCTTCAAGATAATATTTACTTTGAGTAATTGCGCAGAGTTTTATAGTCAATATGTTCTGCATATGCTGCTCATAATCTGTGTAACGGTGCACGGAATTTGTGTGGTAGTAGGTTCATACATGTTGCTCCTTTTTATTCCGGAAAAAATGTGTCTTTCCTGTGGTCTCTTTATGTTCTGTATTGCTAGGGTATATGATTGTCTCTGTGTGACCAATAGGTCACGGATTTGAGCTGTGTATTGAGCCGCTCATTCTTGTGTCAAAGCAGACTGCCTACATTACATCACACCCCCCTTGGAGAGACCCTTCCCCACACCCTGCATGAATGCAGGATGCTTTGTGTACCTGGATGCCCTTTTATTACAAGTGTATACAGTATCTGTAACTTGTAAGTATCAGTGATTGGAGAGGAAAAGGTTCTGTATATGTCACTGCTAATTTTTATATATTCAAATACTTCAGTATCGTTCTCCTTCGTCTTTTGGAGGTTTAGCCACTGTAACCTTTGCACACAATATGTTAATGTAGAAGAAATAGGACAAGGGGAAGAAAGAAAGTAGTATTCTAATTGTCAATCAGGCCTGGGATAGATAATAAGATGAACTATTTAAAAGATTCTTATCAATTACCTTAGTAAGCAACGTGAATTTTGCTTGTGTTAGATACTGAGATGCTAGAATACGTGAGTTCTTCCATTTAAAGCTGCGGCACAGTTTCCTTTTCCTTGTAATACATGCAGTCATCTGATTCTTAGCTAGTGTTCAGCTAACAGATTTTCTTGCTTGTGTTAACTTGCTCAGTCTGATTTTCGATTGAAAATTTCAACAAGAATTGGGAAAAAAAGGTGGAGGGGGGAGGGGGGAGGGGGGTGGATACAAAAAGGTCAATACAGAAGGCAACTAGTTTATTTCCTTTATTCCCACCAAACCTTTCATGTAGAGTCTTATCCGTTCACCTCTTGCCCGCAAGAAAATTCTCTAGCTCATCGGATGAGCACCTTATACTGTTGCATCTACAGCCTATTGCTTATAGCTCATATTCTCATGCTCATTTGATAAATAGAATAACTTGTGAGATTCAGGTTAATCCTGAAAGGATGGTAATGTTTTTTGGCTTAAGGAGTATTGATGAAAATAAACATTTACCAAAAATATAAAGGCGGGAACTGTACATTCTATCTTTACAAGGTAGGTGTAAGGTCTACGTACACTCTACCCTTCTCTGACCCCACTTGTGGGATCACATTGGGTATGTTGTTGTTGTTGTACATTCTGGCCTTATGGTTTAAACATATTTGACTGGGAATCAGACAGGGATGCATAAACATCCAAAGACAGATCTTCACACTAAACCAGTGCAAATTTTCTTGATACATTTATGCTTAAACTAATCCAAACACTTTACCCGAAATTACTTTTCAACATCTAAACCTAAACGAAAATCCAAATGCCACCTCACTCTACATTTTTGTCTTTAAGATTCATGTTGCTGTTTCGACCCGCCTATCAGAACTTAAGAGCTTCTGGTTGGCTCATCCATCATGGAAATGTGTTCTGTTTCTGATGATTCCTTATTAGTACAAACTTCCTTTAGCTCCTCATTATGCTACTTCATATTATAAATATATTTACATAATTGCTTCTTTCTGAAAATGTGGAACAAGTTTCGCGGGCAATAAAAGGTTTGTTTCTTTACAGTGGCACAGCAAGATGCAAGTTTATCATCTGAACTGGAGAACAACGACGAGCAGGAACAGATCAGAATAGCAAGAGCCTTACTGAATTACCGTTTGAAGGAACAGTTAGAAATGGCCAAATCTGGCAAGGTTCCAATACCATTCCAGAAGAAATTTCCAATTCCATCTCCTCGACCATCAAGTCCACAGCGTCCTGCAGTCACGACATCCAAAATACTCCCCTTAATCTGCCCGAAAACAGTTAATCGTTACAGATCGTCCTCCACGACAATAAATGACAGCCATTCCTCATTATCACAGCCGCTGCCCCAATCACAAACTTCCTCATCAGAAGGCCGCACAGTTTCCACCCGGATATCTCCTGCTCCATATATGCCAGTAAGACAATATACTAGGACACCTTACCATGGTATTGCTCCGCCTGTTACAATTAGAACAGCCGTGCCAGTTTTCTCTGCACCACCTCGTCCACAATCTACCGGATGCCCAGCTCAAATGATGCAGGCCCGACCAGTTCGAGTTGCACCACCTGTCTGTATTAGGCAGGCTATCCCGGTATATGCTGCTCCACCAGTCAAAAAGGAAACTGTGGCACATGCTACTACTACACTAAGCAGGCCATCAGCTCAACCTGAGGAAACTGTGGCACGAGCTACAACTGCTCCAAGCAGGCCTTTAGCTCAGCCCAAGGAAACTGGGACCAATGCTGGCACTGAGGTTGATGAATCAACGGCAATGAAGTGCTTGGAGGAGCTCAGTTTATGACAGTGGCTTGGTCCTTTGAATCTACCAATACCTATGTCAAACATTTTTGTTGTCTTCTTTTAGTGCTTGGTGCTTGAACAAACAAAGGGAAATGAAATGCTTGGGAAGTTCAGAGAATGATAGTAACTTTGGACATAGTTAAGCTATTGATATCTATGTTAACATTTCTGTATCTACTAGCATAATTTTGCTTTCTTTTGTTCCCTTTCCTATTTCAATGTTCCTTTCTATTTCTTGTGCATGTAGTTCCATGCTGTGTTGTGCCGAGGGCCTACCGGGAACCTCTCTACCTCACAAAGGTAGGGGTAAGGTCTGCATGCGATCCTCCCTTTCTCAGAGTTCACTCGTGGGATTACACTGCATATGTTGTTCCATTATCCAAACTCATATTTGATGCAGCTACGATACAACAACAACAGAGATACAGTGTAGACCCACAGGTAAGGTTCGAGGAGGGTGATGTTTAGACCTTATGAAGGTGGATTAATTATATATAACTTTACCTTGCATTTTTACTAGAACCTATTTTCATGATATGAACCCTTAACTCATAACCTCTTTGATCACATAACAACTTTTATCGTTATGTCAAAGCTCCCCTTACGTAACAACAAGATACTTTGCATTTCTCTTAGAGATTGTTTTGATGATTATTTGAAAGTATGACCTCTTAACTACATGACAATAACTTTTATTGCGCCAATACACCCTTTCAGTATTGAACTATAATTACAGAGCTTTGGGTTCAATTCCGAGCTCGAAAACTTCAAATCACTTACTGCCTTACTAGCAAACCCTGTAGAACCACAAAACCACTACCAACAACAAGAATTTACTGGAGTGAACATAAATCTTATCACTACTTTGTGAAGATAGAGAGACTGTTTCTGAAGTACTCTCGTAATATTACAAAACCAAACATTTAAATCAAAGAACAAGTCGTAAATTTTTCAACCTACTTAGTCAAATAAAGGATAGAGCAACATCCTAATTAATCAAATGTGACTCTGTCTAAATCTTCTAACACAAACCTAGAAAGATTGCACAGTACATTATGGTTCAGTAGCAATAAATTCTTTGGTTATTAAATTCAAACAGAAGCAATGTATGGTCTATGGACCCCTATATATTGCAACATTTGTCCAATATTTAATCAAAACTTCTATTGTCCTTGTAACAATAATATAGGAAACATTTTTAAAAAATATTGGACCATTTTTATGATTGAGCCATGAGAATACTCATTTGGTAATTGAGTTGTGTTCTTCATTTATTATGTATGAAACTACTTCTTGTCCTTCAAATTTATCATCCATTTGTCACTTGTGGACAATACTCCTTCATTCTTAACCAGAAGTCTCGAGTTCAAAGAATCAAAATTGTTGGGTATGGACTACAAAGTCGCTTTTATGAGGAAGCATTTCACCCTTACTGTGGGACTTCATGATGTGAATCCAAATTTAATCGAGTCCTTGTAATGTATTTAATTGATTAATGAAAACTTCAAATAGAGTTGTATTCTAGTGTATAGGGAAAATTTGATCAAAATATTCTTTCATTTAAACATGGCTGAAACTTTTTTATGATTGCTATACTTTTGTTTGTTTGTTTTCACTCGGTGTATTGTACTTGTATTGAGGCTCGACTAAATTTAAATTTGCGTAAAGGCTCGAACCCGAAACTTGTGTGTAAGATTGTTATGCATGGGCTCCCATACTACAGCCACCTCTAATAGAGTGACATCTGTCAAGGTATTAAAATCTTAGGTAACACTACATGAAACTCTACAAAATGTCTTTTTCCTCATGGATCCCAAAACCAATATAATGGTCACCATAATAATTGCAATTTCATCTCATCACCATAAATGTAAAAGATTCAAATTTGTATTTTTATAAATAAAAAAAAAGTGATAATATGCATATTCAATTCAAATTATTATTATTTTAAAAAATAATGAGTATGTAGTTTAGAATCTTTATAATTTTATTTTTACAACCTTTGACACAATCAAAAAAGAATAAGCGATATATTCTTAATACCTTTCTGCACCTATAAATCCTGAGAGAGAAGCCTAGAACAGTATTTACATAAGAAAAAATTATCATAAAAAAAACTCAGTACAACTTTATCACTAAAAGAATTTAAGCATTCAATCTAAAACTTCAAACGATATGAGTGAAATAATATAAAATTGGTATATGCTCCCTTTAAAAAAACTTTATTATATATAATTATAATAATATAACAATAAGTCAATAAGGGACAAATGATATTTTTTCTAACAAAAAGATCCTTACCTGATCTCTTTACCCCATATTTAATGGTTAGTGGACTTAAGCTTTATGGTCGGAAGGTAAATTTTATAAATTGATCACTTTTTAGTTCTTATAATTTTAAAATAGTCATTATTATTGATTTTCAGTTTCACAAGTAAAATTTCAGAATATTATCGTAGAGTTTTTTTCGTAAAGTTTTTGATTCAATCGAATAACATAATCAAGAAGTGGTCAGTAAATGCAATTTTTAGTGAATTTCAATTCCAGAAGTAAAATTTTAGAATATTATCGTAGAGTTTTACTCGTGAAATTTAATATAATGACATAATCAAAAAGTGGTTAGTGAATGTTATTCTTACGAAAATTAATAGGGTATGAAAATGGACGTAGTTCACATCTAGCCAATTTTGAGATCACCGTTTAAGTTATTCAAATGTGTAAAAATTTACAAGTTTACCCACTTTAAAACAAATGTCTAAAGTTTCATATGGTTGAATTAAGTTTAGAGTCGTTTTTACTTAGAACATTTAAGCAAAAAATATCTGAATTTCAGTCACATATAAAACTTTAGAATATGATTTCGAAATTGGTACTTATTGAAAAAAAACAGTCTATCTACCAAACACGAGATAGAGGTAAGATCTGCATTTACTTCATTCTTCCAGACTCCACCTATGAGATTCCACTGAGTATATATAATTGTATTGTTATTATCAAGGGTTCATCAAAAACGACATCTTTACCTTCACGTGATGGGGATAAGATTATCGAGGGTCCATCGGAACGGCCAAAATATAAAGTGTGATAAACAAGCATGTCATATCCAATGTGTAAATGGTGGGCCCAAATTTGCACTTCAACAACACCAACCCAACTCAGCATTCTATTGATTCACGCAAGATGGGCCCATTTATAGGCCCAGATAGAATTGGGCCCACTTAAAGGTGAGGACTTTGATTGGACCATAGTGGGGCCCAAAAAGGAATTAAGGAAGCACTGGATTTTATTCCTTTTCTATGAGAAAAGGAATGGCTCTTGGCAAAAGTAAAGATGTGAACCCTCCACCCATTACAAATATTTTTTTTAAAAATAAATAAATAAATAATCCCTCCGACTCAATATATCTGACACCTTTCGAATTTTGAAATTCAAACAAATCTTTCCTTTACTATAATTTTTTCATATATCTTTCAGAAATTCTGAAATGTCAATTACTGTGACTTATAGTATCTTTTCTCAGTTGCCTTCGTCCAGTAGGTCACTCGCCCTCTGTAATTTCTAAATATGTAAATTTCATTTCAAATTTTCCAGTCCTGATTCTACGATCAAGATTAAACTATTTGACTTTTGAAATTTGAATTATATGTATAAATTGTGATAAAGATTAATTAGGGAGGGGGGGGGGGGGGGGAGAAAAGAAGGGGGACAAAGTGGAAGAATGTTAATCCCATCAATCTATCTAAAAAGCTAAAGTTAAGATTGTAAAAAAAGAAAAAAAGAAAAAAAACACAAAAATACAAAAAAACCTATGTTTGACTTTGGGCAATGCTCATCATAAAACATTGATTGTACAACAAAGAAATAGGAACTCATATTGTCCCTATTATGGTCCTTCCTAGTCAATCTTTGTAAATATGTCATGTCATTTTGGGACATTCTCTCAACAAATTTACACTTCTTTAGGTACCATCTTTTTTAACATGTTGCTTTGCATATAATCATTCTTGTTTGTTGAAATTTCCCTCAATTGTTTTGTCATATCACAAATTGATAAAAGGAGAAACATAACATGTTGAATCTCATATGACATAATAATACAAAATTTGCAATGATACTCTCATTGAATTAATTAGTTATTATACAAAGTTGTAATGTGAGTTGTTCAATATGACTTACTCTGTTCAAAATAATTTAGATTCATCATAGGTAACTAATATATTTCAAAATGAACACCAAATTTATTATGCATTACTTTAATGAAGACACGGGGAAATTAAGCAATCAACCTCACATACATGAAGCAAAATTAAGTTGTTGATCTCCTAGCGAAGAAGGGTGCGAGAAAATAACTTTTTGATTTCCTCTGATATTTATTAATAATACAGTTTAGACAGATATATTAGAAACTACTTTTGTTATACATGTTTCGGACACTAACCTCAATGTGTTGGACATAACTATTGAACTAACAAGGACCAATGCTCTCACTATTTTGTATTTTTTGCATTATCCACATAACAAAAGAGTATCCTATTTTAAATAAGTACTTACAAACATGAAGTAAAAAAATGTCAAAAAGGTTAGATTCTTTTACTTTGAAATCTTAGATGTAATTTGCACTTGGTTTAATGTTTTTTTGGGATTGAGGTGGAAACAAAAGCAAGTTTTCTTTAGAGGGTGGAGTTGAATTCAAGCTTTCAACAAATTATAGCAATTTCAAAGAAAAGAAGAAGTTTCAATCATAGCATATATAACTTTGTCAACTAATTTTGTTGAATTCTTAGCCCTTCTTGGAAATCAAATCAATAAAATGACAGCATGGACAAGAGCTAAAACTTTATGTAATGTCTGTGTGGTACTAGTAATGATCTCATCATGGATTGGTCAAACTAGATGTCCCTCTGTATTATTTAATCATTTGATATATTGTATATTGGCTCGATTAATTTTAATTTGCATCTAATAATTAAGTTCACTAATGAAGTAAAGTATTTCTTATTCAATGTTGGATTTAGAATTTCTCTCTTTGAAAAGGGTAGCTCCATTCGATTCTTATCAAGAACCTTAACATTTTAAGGGATCGAACCAGGAACATAATGCCTCTCTTCACCCTCACCAACATTCACATTCATCGTATTATAATTTTTTTAAATTATCATCTTATATTCAAATTTGAATAGTCTAACTAAT